GCGCTGGCGTTTATGGTTTGGTTGCGATGGGTGGGGCGTCCATGCAAGAGCTGCGGAGCGACACTCCGCGAGGATAGCGAGGAGTGAGTATCGACCATGGACTTTCATCTATGATTTCAATATTTTGGATGCAGTCACTTTGGTGGTGATGTGCCAGGGGCACTGACCAATGAGAGTGGATATGTTGGCGTCATTGGGGCACCCTGATGGAGCGACAGGGGCCGGGTCGCGGCCTCACCCGCAGTAGTTCCACTTCGCTCTTCTTTCCGTCCACTCAGATCCACTCTGCTCCTCCGCGTTGTTGGCTTATCGCTCCTCCAGGTTATTGTTAAACTGCCCGAGCTCGCTGCTGCGGTGTTGCGTCTGCATTTGACCAACTCCTTCCAAGCCTCCACCATGTCGTTGCTCGCCGGAGACCCTACCATGTCTGCTGCTCCGAACCCTTCTCCCTTTCTCCGCCTGCCCACAGAAATCCGCCTCATGATTTACGAGCTCCTGCTGCTGCCACCGAGCGCCGAAGTACCTCTTCCGCGGAACAAAAACACCACGACGGCCCAAGATTCGCAAGACAATGCCGACGACCCAAACCCGCTTGTGCCTCCACGCACCCTCCAAATACGCACCATTGACCCGCAGCACGTCCACAAGCATCTCTCCAGCTCGTCCTCACGCTCGACCCGGCCCACCTACCACGCGCGCAGCACCGCCATCGGCGCCCCGCGCTTCTCGACCAGCGGCACACAACCGACGACGTACACGCTGCGCACGAACCCAGGATTGCAAGGGGCGACGGGGCTGCTAGGAACGTGCCGGCTGGTGCATTCGGAGGCGGCGGCGGTGCTGTACTCGAGCTACATGTTCGACTTTGACACGCACATTGAGGCGGTGGAGCCGTTCCTGTCGGCGCTGACGACCCTGGCGCGCCGCAGCGTGACGCGCCTCGGGCTCGTCAAGGGCGCGCTGCCCGGCGAGAAGGAGTGGGATCGCGCCGAGTGGAAGAGCGCCTGCGAGTACATGGCGCGCGAGCTGCGCCGCGAGGAGCTGGTGCTGGAGCTGGGCGTCGTCGCTGGGAAGCCTGGGAGCAGGGGTCGCAGGGGAAGCAATCCAGATGCGGGCGAAGAGGGCAACGGCGCTGGCGACGGAGACGGCGACGGAGACGCAGAGTTTGATGGCTGGGACGGCGTTCCCGAGCTTTCCGTCGACCACTTTCGCCTCGTGCAACCGCGTCGCGTTGCCACAAGAGCCGACAGCGGCATCGCGACGCCTACATCGCCCGTCTCGGAGACTGGCGGGGGCGGCAACTCCCCTTCTTCGCTGCACCGGCAGCTCCAACCGCATCTTGTTTACGGGCTGGGCCTCAAGGCACTGGCTGGTATCGACTTTGAGTGGGTCGAGCAGCTGGTTGTCGCACTGCGTGGGTGCCGCGACGTGCGGGTGCGCGCAGTCGTCGAACGCTGCGCACCGCCTGGCGCCAACGAGATGGTGGCATTTTGGGTTAGCTTTAGCAAGAGCGTCGAGCGCGCATTTCGCGTGTGGTTGAGGAGCATGATGGTGGGGTAGCTGAGATGTGAGCAAGCGGTGGAAGAGGAATTGTTCAAGAAGTCGTGAAATCTGCGGGCAGGCTGGCAGGCCGATGGATAGGGAGGATTCGAGTGCCTTTCCCTGTCTGATTTCCTGCCTGCCAAAGACATGTCATCGCCATGTCTACTAATAAACGGATGGTGTAGGTGGTGTTGAGGCATCGTCCCAAACCAATACCTCGACAGCCGACCAACCCAGAGACGAACCAGCGAGAGTCGAAGCGTCGTCGATTCAAAGTTCGGGGCCCCAATCCAGAGAAGCGGAGGAAGATGTTGGGGTCGGCTGGACGGAGCACGCCGTTGCGTGGAGAAGTGGTACCACATCAGTCGAGGTGGTTCGACCGCTCTTCAAATTGCCACTCACGACGGCAAGTCGGTCCGGATGTGTTTAAGCCGAGCATCCCTCTCTTTCTCGCGAATGTTCGCGGTGCCTGGCCGGTGTCGAGGTTCCATGCCGATGCGTCTGTGTTGGTGCTCTCTGCCTTCGCAACCATCCACCTCTGGTTGTGCTCCCTATTCCAGTACAAGGCCTGCGCTGTTCAGCGGCAGTGCAGGGGAGGAATATGAGTCAGAAGCACGGCGAGAGGCGTCACCTTTTCGCTTTTTGAAAACTGCTCTTTGGGTCTTTGTTTCGGTCTCGTCACATAATACCTCCTGTCCTCGGGACAACGGGGCGTCTAATTTCAGCAGCGGGAAGCGGGAGTAGCAGGCGTTTGGTCTTTGAGCATTGGAGTAGGTACGGTAACCAAAAATTTGAACTATTTTTTTTTGGCATCTGTCTTCTTTTTGTCGCGTTCTTGCCCTTCTACAAGTCTTTGGTGCAACTTGGTTCTCGTACACTTCCTCAAAATGTAGGATTGGAATTGACTGTCCAGACGAGCCGACTGACAATGCAGTTGCACGTCATGGAGCAGCTGCCCTGTCCAGCACCTGCGTAAACTCGCCAGTGTTTGCCGGGGAGAAGGAGTTCAGTCGCAGCCTTCACCTAAGCGTTAAAAGCGCTTGCCTTCTTCAACACCTGCGAGTGCACAGGCCGACTCCACCACCATCTACCTATTTCTTCAGGCGCCTCTGTCTGCTCCTTCAACATCACCACCTTCCTCCTTTCCCAACCTGCCAGATCATCAGCATACCACTATTTCAAGCCTCGACCATTCAGCAATCGCCATGGAGCGAGAAGGTGGAAGTGCCAACAGTGTGAGTTTCTCGCCATGATCCAACGTTGTTTGCTGACTGGAAACTGCAGGGCAGCAACTCTGTTTCACATGCGAATAACAGAGATGAATGTAGGTACTATGGAAAGCTTAGTGAGGTAGGTACATAGATTTGCAATAGAAGGATGTATCGAGGGATGTTGCTAATTAGCTGTGCACAGCTCCAGAAGAAGCTCCGAATCAAGTGGCGCCACGAGGAGTCGTATAGGAACGTGCGCGAGCAGATTCGACAGGACCTCAAGGAGATGGAAGAGTACACCGCCGCTTGCCGCCGTTTGGAGGCAGATATCAGGATTCTGAAGCTCCAGCGTGAGGCCATCGCAAAAAGTATTGAGACCTTTGAAAAGATGTGGGATGCAGGCTACAGGAGAATCCACGAGATCGGAAACGATATTCCTCGCATCGAGTTGGTTGCAAAGCTAGTAGAGGAAGGTTGGTACAGAAACATAGCTCAATCTCTCGGGATCGATGTCCACTGATCTTCCATTGCTAATTCTGACAACACTGCAGGCGTTGCGGACCCTTTCAAAGTTCACAGAGATCCCAAATGAGAATCGCTCGCGGATGCCGCTGGCACGCTGTTGGTCAGTCATGCTCGGACAAACTACCTAGGTGTATAGGCCCATCATCTTGGCGCGCATCACCCACCTAGAAGTACAACATCACAACACCTCTCACAGGTACCCAATCTTGGATCTTCCGATCATTTCATCCTACCTCCGATCAAGCCCTTCGATCTTCACCCCGCTGAGCGCATCCAAGAGATCAACAAACCTCAGTGCCTCACATTTGAACTTCATTGAATGTGAGTGCACATCACTTCTTTGAGGCTCACTCATTACTTCTGAAACTCACATCACCTGCAGATCTGCGACCACTTTATTAAAGAACCTCACTTTGCTTGTCAGCCGGGTACACCATTTCCTATTTTCATCGCCAACAGCCCTCTCGGCTGCTTTTGAGAAGACACAATCAAAGCTCCTCCATATCAAAATGCCGGCAGACTGGAAGGAGATGAATCGAGTGCTCGACAAACAGTTGCGGATTGTGGAGAACGAAATTGAGCATGACCAAAAGAAGCTCTCCGCAATCAAGGCCAAAGCCGCCGAAGTCGCCAAAATGATGGGAGAAGTGAAGGACAACAAGGCCAATCTCGAGCGGCAGCGGGAGATGGACATTGCCTGCACTCACCATGACAACGACCACCTCGGAAACTACACATACCTTTGCGAAGCTAAAAAGGAGCAGGAACGTCACAAAAGCTACATCAGATTTCATTTGCTGCAAGACTTTCCGAAGTCTGCAGAACTTCTCCGGGAGCTCTACGACGAAATTCGGAAGTCCTGGAACAATGGCAAGCCAGGCTGTCCGCTTGACCTCTTCGCGGAGACCATTAAAATGCTTGCGGATTGCGACAATACAGCGAAAGCGGCGGGCTTCGGATTGGACTGTGGGGTTGGACCGAAGTGAGGTCAGGAATGGTCTGGGTACATCTCTTGATAAGGTCTCTTGGGAGTAGTGATTGATGATTTCGAGAGTCGGCGAGGCGGTTCGAGGGACTCGTCAAAAGTTCATCATGGCGGGGAGCCGCAAAAAAGGGATATTTGCCTATTTCACCTTACTCTGGTCTACATTTCAGGCAGTCAGTCACGGCTTACAGCCCCAAAAACATGTCTTGTCGCAGAACTGGTGCTGTTGTAGCCGTGATTGCGTGCCTTTGCAACCTAACCATGTCAATCCTCTGAATCGCAGAATCAAGTGACTAAGATTCCGCAGAGAGGCTGCGCTAAATTTTGTCCAGCCTGGAGAAGTGTCTTCGCTCGGATTCAAACTACACGTAACAACAAAGGGCCCAATTCCTTTCATCCTCAACTGGCTGCTCAGCTACTTCGATCGATAGCTCTGCCCAGAGCACTTTGAATTGAGCGGGTTATAAGCGATCCTACCGAGTTCAATCGACGTTGAGGTGCGAGGATCCTGGGTGCGTTTATTGAAGTAACTTTCCGTCTCAACAAAGGCTTGCGGCAACCTCGGTTCGCCCTCGCTCTCCCACGGCCTTTTTCTATGTTAGTAACCTTCCTATTGTACCGTTCGAAAGACGAAAAGGATCACAAAAATGACTGAATTTAGAGGTGAGCTTTTGGGACAATTGAATTAGACATTATATTTTAAACAACTGCTTGGTTTATCATCAGCTGATATAGCTGCCCGGCTAGCTCAATCGGTAGAGCGTGAGACTCTTAAACCACTCTCCAAAGGTGACATCTCAAGGCTGCGGGTTCGACCCCCGCGTTGGGCTCAATCCCCACAATTTTTTGCCGTTTTCCCAGGCCCGAACGGTGGTTGAGAGATTTGTTTTCTTTGGTGTTTTTGTGCGGAGATTGATTGGATCGTCGCACGTGCATCGGCCCGCTGGCAGATCCCACGTGTCGTGCCTGCCTCTTTTGACGATTGCGTGATGGACTTGGGAACGACTTTACATTTGCTGGCTTATGGAAGAGGGAGTGCATTGCTGGATCAGTTGAGACTGATAGAGCAAAAACTGGAGGGAGAGTTAGGGATGGAGCATGTTGGCTTCCGTTCATATGTGTGCTGGATCCCGCGAGCGACAACAACGACGATGCCTGTGAATTCCCCGTTCACACATGCATACCACAAGACTGTAATCGGCGTATATATGAAGACTCTATCTATATCTTATCCAAAACCCAGATAATGCACCCGCATCACAAGTCATAGCGAGACTCGTCGGCGTCGACTTCTACCTCCGCGCAGAACCAGCTCGACACGATTGGCTCGCTTAGACAGCTGGCAGGAGCGCACGGCGCAGGCGCGGGGCTTTGCGCCAACTTCGAACGTCGCGTGGGATGACACGCGCATGGAGAAAAAATCTGAGCTGCCTACCTGCTGTGTGATTGCGCCGCGGCGGGGAGGAACAGGGGATTTGATGCTGTGTTGGACGGGGATGGCTGCGCCTGATGGTGCCTGGTGGAAGAATTGGATTTAGGTGTTTGAGAGCGGTGGGTTGGAGGGTTGGCCAATTGTGTTTGTACAGTGAATAGGTTGGAGTGATCTGGACATGTCCTCGCGCAGAGATTCTGCGTGGGGTTTGTGTTTGGGGGGTTGCTTATGCTGTATCACAAGACGCAGAATGCACATCAGCTTCAAGAGAGGCAGAGACAAGGAGCATTCGACTTTTATTCTTCAGGTCGTGCCGGTTGTTGGAGAGTAGCGGCCACTACTTTCACCCAGATGCCCAAAGGAGGAAGCAAGGCGAAAAAAAATCGTGACACGACCCTGGTGAGCACTCAAAGAGATACAACTCGTTCATCAAGACGCTACAATGCCGACAGGACCGGTTTTGTTTCTTTGGCATGGTAGCATGAGAAATGTGTCCCATGACAGCAGCAACGTCTCAAGCCAGCAAATGGTGACGTCTCCGAGTTGACTCCGGCAGCGGCTGGCAGGCGCGTGCGCCACCATTCCCTATCCACATCACCATTCCTCGACCATTGTTGCCGGGGGCAGCTTGATTTCAGCACCCAATTCTACGCCATGGGATCACGAAGAATTCTGTTGATAGCGGGCTCAGACAGCTCTGGTGGCGCGTAAGTTCCCTTCCCAACTCCGGCACTCTCCAAGCGCAATCACCACTCCTCCACGTGCGGGCATGCATGCATCCCCCACTCTGCAAGAGCAAGTGCAATGCAGCGTTGCATGTATCTGAATAGTGCCTTGTCTGGTGTACTTGGAGATTGAGTTGGGAGCTTCTGCTGATCAGCATGTTTTGTGCGTAGCGGGCTCGAGGCAGACCAAAAGGTTGTCGCGTCGCATGGATGCTATGCAATGACGGCGACAACGGCGCTGACGGCACAAAACACGCTCGGAGTGCACGGCATCCACGTCACGCCGTCTGGCTTTGTGCGCAAGCAAATCGAAGCATGTGTAGAAGACGTGGGCGTAGATGTGGTCAAGACTGGTAGGTAGAAGTGTCTCTTCGCAGTAATTTTTCTTTTCATCAACACCGCAATGTGCGGGTTTTGATTCGACGTGTGGTTAGGCATGCTGGCTTCGGCCTCGACTGTAGAGGTGGTGGCCGAGGCGCTCAAGAAGTACAACGTGCCGGTTTCCGTCATTGATCCCGTAAGCGTTTCCTTGTCCATGGCGTACATTTCCTCACGCCCGTCAGGTCATGGTTGCGACGTCAGGGGCACAATTGCTTCCTGAGGATGCCGTGGAGACGCTCATCTCGCAACTTCTACCGCTCGCTACGGTCGTCACGCCAAACGTGCCGGAGGCCCTCATGATACTCAAGCATCGAGACAGCCAAGGGCCCTCGCAGTCTGAGCCGACGACGGTAAAAGAGTTGATCTCAATCGCTCAAGCCGTCCGCAACCTAGGCCCCAAGTACGTCTTGCTCAAGGGCGGACATGTTCCTCTCACGAAAGAACACACTGCTCCGACCAGCGAAGCGGACCGTCATGTGGTGGTCAACATACTGGTAGGGCCAGGCGAGCCCGTCATTATGGAGACTGGGTATCAGAAGAGCAGAAACACGCATGGTACCGGCTGCTCGCTCGCGTCTGCAATCGCCTCGCGGCTAGGCTTGAGCATGACCATGGAGCAGGCAGTCAAGACGGCAAACTATTACATCGAAGCAGGAATCCGAACAAGCAAGGACCTCGGGAGCGGGAGCGGACCAATCAACCACTTTCACTCGACATACATGTTGCCTTTTGCGCCAGGCCGCTTCATCGAATATCTCCTGGATCGAGACGACGTCCGGGGACCGTGGAGAGAGCACACGCATCACGACTTTGTCAAGCAATTGGCAGACGGGACGTTACCTGTCCAAAAATTTCAAAACTACTTGGTCCAGGACTACTTGTTCTTGGTGCGTGGATGGGCACTAGTCGAGAGAGATGCTGATGTTGGCAGATTCAATTTTCGAGAGCAAACTCGCTGGCGGCGTACAAGGCCAAGGATTTGGACGACATCAACAAGTCGGCGAGGATAGTGTTGCATATCCAAGAGGAAATGGGGTTGCACGTCAGGTACTGCGAGGGGTTCGGGCTAACCAAGGGCGACATTGAGAGGCACGAGGAGCACCAAGGTCAGTGACAGGGAGCGGTGCAACATGTCAAACGGAGTCATGGCTGACGATGGTGGCGGCAGCATGCACGGCGTACACGCGGTACGTGCTGGACATTGGGCAGTCGGAGGACTGGTTTGCGCTGCAGGTGGCGCTGGCGCCGTGCCTGCTCGGCTACGGACACATTGCACGCAGGCTGTTTGACGATCCGGCGACGAAGCGCGAGGGCAATCGGTACTGGGATTGGGTTTTGCAATACGTGGCAGAAGACTACACCGCCGCGGTGCGGACGGGAGCAGAGCTGCTGGAGAAGCACGCGGTGCGCCAGTCGCCGGCCAGGATCGAGGAGCTGGTGCGGATATTTATCCATGCGACCAAGGTGAGTGAGCAGAGCAACATGGTGATGGACGAGGAGGAGTGTGCTAAGACGCCGCCAGATGGAGACGGGGTTCTGGGACATGGGGTCTCTGTAGTCCACAAAGGGATGCGGCTGAAGCCGAGGGATGGGCGGTGGTCAGAGTGGAGGAGGCATGGATGGATGGATGGATGGATGGATGGGAATGAAGACAGTATAGAAAAGTGCGAATACAGTATGTATGCAGTACTGTACTGTATGCACACTGTGGACACAACGAAAGAGGCGACTCGCCACGGTCGGTCAGGGAAACCCTGGACAGATGTTTTTTTTCATGGCGGTCGGTAGGGCGGACCAATGGCCGTGGGCTGGTCTCGGCCCGAAGTTTTCTGCGTTGCCTCCTAGCCAGCTTGGGTCCACCTACTGGCTGCTCTGGCCGCTGGCCCTCTTTCCGCTTTTTCTGTCAAAAACATCGCCCTCACCACTTCCTCCATCCCACCCTCCAAACACGCCCTCTCATCGCTTCTTTCCGCGACTCGACTCCCATCTCCCGCCCCTCGTCTTCATTCCGACGCTTTTGCGCGACCCTGCTCTCGAGCCGCGCTTAATTTCACGCTCTTTATCACCCTTCTCCGGTCCCTACTGAGCCTGCCTGCGACCATGTCCTACGGCGGTGGTTACGGCGGTGGTTATGGTGGCTCCCGCGGCGGCGGCGGCGGAGGCGGCGGTGGAGGCGGCTACGGCAACGGGTACGATAGCTCGCGCTATGGATACAGCAATTCCAGTCACTATTCCAGCGGGTATGCCCAACCCACAGGTCTAGATATGGCCGGCTGCGCCGACATCCATCCCCCTCCCTTCACTCCCTCTACACTATCCCCCCATTCGCCTGAGCGTCTTTTCCGTCGCCGTCTCGTTGTTTGCGACGAGACGCGCTCTTTGGCGGCGCTCTGGCGGCCAACATTCCACCTCACCTCGCCTACGACGCATTCAGAAACGCGCTGACATTTGCCCCAACAGATACGGCGGTTCCAACGGCTACTCCAACGGCGGTGGTGGCTACGGCGGTGGCAGCAACGGATACAGCGGTGGTGGTGGTGCTGGTGGTGGTGGTGGAGGCTACGGCGGCGGCGGATACGGTGGTGACAGAATGTCCAACTTGGGCGCCGGCCTCAAGGCGCAAAACTGGGACCTCAACTCTCTCCCCAAGTTCGAAAAGTCTTTCTACAAGGAGCACCCCGACGTCGCTGCCCGCTCGCAGGCCGAGGTCGACGCTTTCCGCAAGGAGTACCAGATCGCCGTCCAGGGCCGCGATGTCCCCAAGCCCGTCACCACCTTTGACGAGGCTGGCTTCCCCGGCTATGTCATGAACGAGGTCAAGGCCCAGGGTTTCGAGAAGCCCACGGCCATTCAGAGCCAGGGTTGGCCCATGGCCCTCTCTGGTCGCGACGTCGTTGGTATCGCCGAGACCGGCTCCGGCAAGACGCTCACCTACTGTCTTCCGGCCATTGTCCACATCAACGCGCAGCCGCTCCTCGCTCCCGGTGACGGTCCCATTGTCCTCATCTTGGCCCCCACTCGTGAGCTGGCGGTCCAGATTCAGCAGGAAATCTCAAAGTTCGGCAAGTCGTCTCGCATTAGGAACACTTGCGTCTACGGTGGTGTCCCCAAGGGCCAACAGATTCGCGACCTTGCGCGCGGTGTCGAGGTCTGCATTGCCACCCCCGGCCGTCTCATCGACATGCTCGAGTCGGGCAAGACCAACCTCAGGCGTGTCACCTACCTCGTCCTCGACGAGGCTGACCGCATGCTTGACATGGGTTTTGAGCCCCAGATCAGAAAAATCATTGGC